ATGTTTATCTTTGGTGCGTGTTATTTTTATTTGTTTTCCTTGTTTCCAAGGCTCATCAGGAAGATGTCAAGAAAAGGTTCCGTCCCATTGAAAAGCTCAAGGAAGAGTTCAGAGAGATCAATTTGCAGCTAGAAACAGATTTTGAAATTATGTTTAAATTAATCAACAAATTCAACAGCTCTGCTTCCACACTAGAAGAGAAAATAACAGCACTTTATGATCTAGAATACTATGTTCATCAGGTAGGAAGGGTCTGTATTCTGGGAAAGTGGAATCACAGGTCTCTTGCCATGCCATAAGCTATAGAATCTCTCTGACAATCAGCTTCTTCTCACATGATATTCTTACCTGTGGACATTCTAACTGTGAACATTAAACTTGTAAGGGAAAATTGGCTGTTGTGTATGCAATTGGGAAAGTGGGTTGGAAACATTTGGAAGCTGCCATATTTCAGTAGTTCTAACATATGTCCAAAAACTCTCCTAACGAATGTGGTGTAAGTTTGCCAAATTCTCCTCAAACCCAACAAGGATCTTTATTTTGTGCTAGCATTTCTCAAAATTCAGGGTAATCCTTGGGCCATACAAAATAATGTGGTAAGAATCACCTCCTAAGCATGTACTTCTTCCATTGCTGCTGAATAACCAAGGCTCACATTAACTTTCCTGTACCTGGAGGAGAGGCTTTTGGGTTCCACAATACAACTTTGAGAGCTGACACCTGCCACTTTTTAATTTAAGTGATGGGTTCTTTGTTTGTCCAGCTGGTGTTTTCCTTTAGGTTTGCAAACCCACAAACAATTAGTCAAAAGGTGGTTATACTGAAATCAGCAGGTCTTAAAGGTGAATTTTGGAAGTTCTTCCTAGGGCAAAACACCTCGTGAATTTCAAGGAAAGTGAAAATAATTCTCAGGAGTGCTCCATATGTCCTCTGTCAATTTTTTTTTTTTTTATTTCTAAGCCAGGTTTAAGCCTCGTTTGTAATCATTGACTCTTGTACCCCAATCATATTTAGCTCAGTTAGCTTTCATCCTCTTCTCTATTCCCTCCTCTGATATGTTTGTGTGCTCCCACACTATGCCTCCTTCTTGCTTTTCTTTCATATGCTAAGCTGACTGGTCTCCTCTGGTGATCAGTTTTCTGTACTAGCTCCCTGTTTTGGCCTCATTCTTTTGTCTTTGTTACAGCTGGAAGTCACTCTTCCAGAACACAAGTGCTGTGTCTGCAGTCCGGACGCAGCATTACATCCATGGCCTTGCCTATGCTTTGAGCAAAAGTACTGTTAGCATCATTTTTCTTATTAGAAAGTTCCTCTCCTAATTTGTCAAGGCCAGAATTCACCCTCTTTGTTAATGTGTCACATTGTTGGCTCAGCCCTCTTACGATCAATATCCCAAGTTCTCTTTCCACCTCATTTGTTCTAGTTGATTAGTTTCCAGTCAATAATATAAGTGCATATTGTGAGTCCCCTAAGTATTTCTAACTCTCCAACCCTGTCAGGTAAATTAAAACTTTGTACAGGTATAATGTATAACTCCCAGGGTCCATAAAAATGAGCTTCTAAATAAAGGAGAGCTTTATTTTTGTTTGATCGTGTTGTTCCTTCTAGTATGCATATTGCCTGAAGGAGGTTTTAATAAGCTAATCACACTGTATGAACTTTCAGTGCTTCCTTCTCTATTTGATTTTAGCCATGGGGATGGATGCAGAGTTCCTCTGAGTGCTCAGAGGATTATCTCTCTGCAGGAATGGGAGGGGAGTGATTTTCGCCAATTTCTCCTATCTTCTTCCACACTCTGTCCCATCCAGGAAGGCAACTCTATATGGCTGGTGTACTTTCCAGAAGAGGAAGGTTTTGTGATGGAACTGCAGGAGGAGGAAGGGGTTGCTAGAAAAACTGCCTCTCTCCCAAATATGTCCCATCGGGGAGGTTACTTGTTTGTATGAGGCCTTTTGTATATGAAGGGGATAACATCTGGGTCCACCATGCAATAGTCAATACCATATGTTTCCATCTATAAGATGCCCCCATGTATAGAATGCCCCCCACTTTTCTTACCGATCTCCGAGCAAGCAAACTGCTGCCTTGCCACCTCCCTGCGCGCACACCCGCAATTGCATCTATCTCCCCCCACCCAGCGTGCGCATGCACTCTTGGCCTCTGCCTTTCAACTGGCCCCCTGTTGAAAAAGTTTGAGGACCCCTGGGCTACATGCTCTCCACAGCATCAGCTAAAGTCAGTTACACAAGGCTCATGATGATTGGAGAAAACCTGTTAGCTTGTCTCTACAATCAGAAGTTTCACTTGTGAGGCTAGTTTGCAGAGATAAGGTATTGGCAGTTTTGCAACCGCGGTTCTCCTCTTGGCCCCCCTGTGTATAAGATGTCCCTCCATTTTTAGGTAAATATTTTTAAGAAAAAGTATTGTCTTATACACAGAAAAATATGGTACATACTGTGTACATACTGTGTCTTCACATCCAAAATTTCAAATCCAAAATAGGTCAAAAGCATTGTATGGCTTGTTGGGGGGAGACTTCTTTTAACCTCTTTAAGTTGTTCTTCTGGGTATCTGGAACATGTTTTAATCTTGATATACCTTCTTTTGGTCTGCTTTTTGTGGATTCTTTAAATTCTTTTTTGTGCAGAAATTTTCACATGGCTGTGGAATAAAATCTTTTTCCAGGTGGACAATGCAAACGATTTACTTTCCCTTGGTGGGCTACAACTTTTGATTAATGGACTAAACAACACTGAACCACAGATGAAGGAATACATATCATTTGTATTGGGAGCTGCACTGTCTAGGTAAGCATCTAAGGATATGTGTGTGTGGCTTCTGTGAATTTGGCAGAAAGGGAAGATTAACCTTAAGGAATAGGCAGGATCAGACTACTTGATTAGATGAGGGGGGCATAGATTTTGGCAGCATGCTCTGCAGTCAACTGCTTGATGCTCCCTTTGTCGGAATTGGTCAACCTAGAAGTGATTAAAGATGTCCTGCTGTTGCTAGGCAACTGCAGGAGGCTGTTTATCATCCTTGGAACTGGGAAATGGCTGTCCAGTTGCTGAAGTGCGGCTGTGGTAGCAAAGAACTGACCCCATCCAAATGCTTAGGCATATGTGTTCAGAGTGCTAGATTTTACAGCAAGGAACCAAGATGCATGAGCAGGTGCTTTGGTGATTAGATGGTAATTAGATTTAAGGACACGTCTTGCTCAAAGGTTTCCAGGTCTTTCAGAAGGAAAGTGCTGCACAAAAATATACGCAATCTCTGGGAGTATTAAAAATAAATAATGATAAAGCATGTGCTTGCCTCTGCTTAGAATTCCCAAAAGGCATGGGAGAAGAAAGGCAAAGTTTAGTAACCCTTGTGTAATAAAAGTAGCCATTGTTTAAGCAAAGGTTAGTATTTTGCCATATACAAAGATAGTGAACAGGCCAAAGAAATGTAGCTGACAAAATCACCTTAGGTTTTCACTTGTGGGACCTGCATTTGCCTGTCATTGTCAGTCATACTCCCAGACAGAAGCACACAATTGTTACATTGCTTGGATAAAATTTGCAAGGCTGTCAAGTCAAGCTGCATGTCACAGGGACCTTTTAAGTTGGTCGTTCTCAAAGCCAGGTCTTGACTTGAACTTTGGCTTTAGGATTCCTCATGCCTCAAAGATCTTACAGGGTCACATGACTATCTGTTATTGCAGTGTGACATGGATTATGGCGTGTGTCCACGAAGTCCATTAATTGGTCCTCCACACTGTAATGGAATATTTGACTTGATTGCATGTGAATGTCTGTAATGCTGACCTTCCATCTTTGCCCTCAGCCACTTTTGCTATTGGGTGCATTGAACTCCCACTTATCATTCTTGGTCAGTATTTGTGTGACTTTCTGTGGCATCCTCCTTTCTGAGTAGCCCTGTCAGATCCTTAACATGGTCTAGCTAAGACAATGACATTGAAATACTTCCTGCCTTTTGTGGGGCACTTTGTCAAAAGCTTTGATGAAGTCAAGATATATTTTGGCCACAGCATTCCCTCAGTCCCCTCTCCATCAGGGAACTTACCCAATCAAAAAATCGAATCCTGAAATTAAATGTAATTGACTTTGTTAGAACAATGGCTGGGACTTTTGCTGTCTGCCCCTCCTCTGCCCTGGCTGCCCTGCACAGCCATGCAGCTCTTTGTTGGCATGCTGGTTTGCTGGAGAAGTGATTCAGCTTGCCCACCGGACCTGCCTCCGCTGGGTGCCAGGCCCCTGTGTTGGTCTGAGAGCATCGATGTGGCATGATGTGGAGGATTCTTTCAGCCTGAGGGAAGAGCCTGGCTCCTGGGAGGTGAGCCAGACAGGAATCCTGCCCCAGGGCGATGCTGTTCTCATTATGGCTTTACAGTGTTAGAGATCTTGACTGCCATGGGAGCCACCAGAAGCCCCTGCTTGCCCCTAGGTTGAGTTATCAGTCAAGCAGCCAGTCGAAGGCAATGGTATTTTGTCTTTCCCCCTCTTTTTAAAAGAACCACATCAGGCCTCTGTTTCTCCGGTGGAAGCACCAGAGAAAATCCCTTGTTAGGACTGGCCCGGGCTATATTCCTTTGGAACTAGAACAGGCTCTGGCTTCCTAGTTCTCTTCTCAGCCCTGGCTTGAGGCATTCCCTCAGCACCTACGTTTAGGGGAGATGGAAATCATCCTCCAGCTGCAGTATAAAACCACTTACTGCCCCGAGTAATGCTATTCATCTGCTCTGCCCCATTATGACCTTCTGTGTCTGTCTGAAAAGTAGGTTTTCCCATAAAGGATTACTTCTAATATATATTCACTTTAGACAAATGCTTGCATTCCCTTTCGGAATCATTTTCTCTTCCATGCATATTTACCAAGTTTCCACAGTACACTTTAATCTGGCACAGACCAGAAGGTGATCAGATCAGACAAAAAGTCAAAGGGGCTGCTGGCTTCCGCCATTATTCATAACTGCTGCCACATAAATAACAGCTGCTAGGAACAGCCCTGCCTTCACAGCCTAGCCTTCATAAAGGCACTGAAGTGTAATAACCATGGCAACAGTTGCTGAAGGCAGGACTATATAACAGAAGAAAGGCATGCTTGGCAGAAAACAAAAGGAGCAACTTTGCAAAGAAGTTGTGTTGCACCTTGCCAGAGGGACGGGGAAGGGAGAGGATCCCCACTGAGCTGCGTGGGTCACCCGGCCATCCTGTACATTTGATCGAGTGCAGCCACAGTGATCCTGCTCATAAAAAGATTCCCAGGCTGAGCCAGTGTGGTGTAGTGGTTAAGAGCGTGGGACTGGGACTCAGGTGATCTGGGTTCGAGTCCCTGCTCGGCCATGGAGTCAACTGGGTGACTTTGGGCCAGTCACAGACTCTCAGCCCAACCCACCTCACAGGGTTGTTATTGTGGGGATAAGATGGAGGAAGGATGATGTAAGCTGCCTTGAGCCCTTTGCAGGAAAAAGGCAGGATATAAATCAATCAATCAATCAATAAAACATGGACAATATTTTATTTCGAAGTCAGATTTACAAACTTTTGGTCTTTGAGGGCAAATAACTGTAGAGGCTGTGAAAAGGTAGCTGATTAATAATCAATTATAATGCAGGTTATATTATTTAATGGGAAATATTGAAGAAGTACTGAATTGAGAAACTATTGGTATTGATTGATTGATTGATTGATTGCATCAAGATTTCCCCAGGCTGTTCTTCTGGGGAAAGAAGATTAACCAATTTTGTTGATGAAATACTTTGAGTTCTTAAGAATAAAAGGGTTTGAGGATTCTGGGAAAAAGATGGAACTATCCCGAGATATTGACATGTGGAAGAAGGGCTTTGAAGCCCTTTGTTGCTGTGAATTGCAGCAGTAGATCTGCTGCAGGGGGTGGAAGGGGATGCATAAAAGTAGATGCTGGCCAGGAATGATGCTTGTGAGACTGTGACTGGAGTCCACTGTAGCTTGAATAATTGTAGCCATTATAATGGCAGTGTTACTGTGTACTGGTAGCCATGTTGACTATTCAGCTCCTCGTGGGGGTTGCCATGTTTTGCCATGTCTTGCCATGTCATCTGAACCCAGGCAGCATGGCTTGTTGGAAGGTGAAACCACCCTCTAGTAACAGTAACCACAATGTCCTTCAGTGATTATGTGAACCAGCCTTATATGTGAAATGTTTATCTCATCCAGGGGGTTTATTAGGATGAGCAGGGCCAACTGGCATCCATTAGTGGTCTGGATTTGGCATAAGAAGTGTCATTTACAGTACTCAGTGTTTGTGTCCTGCAATCTAATCTGTAAACATAATATAACGAAAGGTTTGCTCCGTCAGTGGTCAACCATTTAGAGTCCCCCTGTCCCCAGTGTCCAGAAGCAGTAATGGAATCATTGAAGACCACTTAATTGCGACTCCATCACAGCAAGTACTGTTGATGTTTGAGTCATCTGTTCCAGATAGCAGTGTTCTACCAGTTCTGGAAGGAACACGTACAGTTTGGGGCGGCTCATAGATCCACCTCAGTCACTGCATGCAGATGGAACCTCATGGTTACATAATACCCTTATTAGTGGAGGGTAAGAATAGACCCCTTGCCATGAATTAATAGGACTGAAGCCAATCATGACTACCTTTTCCCATTGGGATCCAGCCCTATATTTATATCCTGGTCAGTACTTCACATTCATCTCTGTTGGAGGGATATCCTTTGAATTTCAGGATCTGTATTTCTGCTGTATCAACTTTTGAATCTGTAGTAGAGAAGGGCATTGCATTCTTTCATGCCTTCCAACATGCTGTTTGGAAAGGACTTGCTTTTTGCTAATTAGTGGAGAACTTGTGGGCAAGGAAGGCTGGAACAAAAGATTTTGCTGCCTGAAGTACAACAGCAAATGGCACCTCCTCTTAGTACTGGAGGCCCATCAACACCTGAGGCAGAAAATCTGACTGGATTTCCCTGTAAAAATGCAATCACAGTAATCTTAAAACTTAACAGTTTGCTGCTCTTTCATGAGATTCTGAATCGGCTGCCTTGCTTTGCTCTGCTTGATGGTAGGCTTAGCTTAAGTGGAATTTGGGTCTGTATAACTGGCCCACTCCTATTCAGGCCCAAATGCCATAAAAACTTGCTTCAGATCTATAAGGGCACAGATATTTGTCTGTAGTGAGCTTTACCCCAAGCTTACCTGGTGCTAGTGCTTGTGTTAGAGCCTAGATGCTGCAGTGTCAAAGTCCATGACCATCAGGTACCATAGGAAATGTAGTTCTTAATGTTCCAAATGTCTCTACCACATTTCCCAGGATTTCTGGCAGCCCTGGATACTGCTGGAGCCTGTCCTCGTAGTAGCCTAATGTCAGTTTTCTTTGCTGTCATCAGGTAAAGTGGGGAAGTGAAGCGGACTGGGTTTGAATGGCTTAAGGACATTGTGGAGACCCATAGTGAGGTTAGAGTGAGGTGATCTGTAAGTCCTCTTGTGCTTCCAATGGCATCACTGAAGCAGAACAAAACCTGAACTTGAAATGGACGCATACTTCCTTACCTGGAAAAATGCCACATTTCTACCAGATAGTACATCTGTTACTCTTGTGGATGCCATATGGGTAGGCAGTTGTGCATGAGTCCCAGGCAGTTATTGGATATTCCTTGTGATACTATTAGCAATTGAGGAAAAAAATAACGCCACCCCTGCCTGGCAATTTTGCGTGGGAATTGGGAGAGTCCATTTTTCTTAATTACATTCTTTGGTGGCTATGCATTCTCCTTTCGCCCAACCTCTGAACTATTCATTGAGGAATTTCCTGTTGTTCCCTCTCCACTTTAAGCAAATATTCAAGAATTACGTATTCTCCCTCCTTGTTGGACCAGTTTAGAAAAAGCAGATCAGATCAATCAGTTCAAAAAAGAAAGCAAATGGCAACACGGCTATTCACGAGGAACAACACTCCCCGCACACATAGACTTCTCCATCTGCGATCTGTCAGTAGAATAGCATGTTGTCATTGCTGGAGCAGAGCTGCCAGAATATCATGTGAAGGCTAGAAGAGAATTGAAACATGTTTTGTTGAAAATCATACCAAAATTATGCAAATATCCTTGGAATGTCTTTATATGGCTTGAATACATTTGTAGGTAAAAATAATTTTTGTATGTTTCCTGATAAGGGGAAACTTTCATTTTAGGGCAACTACTGCCATTTATACTCAGGAAGAAGAAACTCTGCACCTCTCGTGCAATATATTCTTATACCAGCTTAGGTTAGGTTTTAGGTTTTCTTTTGGATGTGATGCTGCTTCTTTAAATTGATTTTGCGGGGTGAGGGGGCTAATCCTACCGCATGGAGACATAGGATAGGTTCTTTCCTTTGGAGGAAAAATATAGTTATGGTCCAGGCCAGAAACATTACGATTATCTAGACAAAAAGTGGGTCTCTTGCTGTTTAAGAAATGCTAATGCATCTTCTGAAAATTGTGTTGCTTTTGTTTCAAAAGGCTACCGGTGTGCTCAATTGAGTACAAGCTTTGTCTGTTTTGAGCCAGTGGAGTGGCTTGTGTTGCTCCTGTCTTGAGCTGATTGTAGGACATCAGGAGCAGGGAAGAGAAGAAAAGCACTGGTATCTATTCTGATCATGACATTAGTGAATAATATGGTCTACCATTTGTCCCAATACTTCTAATTCTATTTCTGATGTTTAGACTTTGAGTGCTGTCAGTTAGATAGCCCAAAGGCACCAGCCACATACAAGGGGGGGGGGAGCCCTAAGGTTTGTAAAGATGCAAGAATATTTGAGTGGGGGAAAATGTTAAGGAGAGAAGCCCCCAAAACTCAGTCCAATGAGATCGGAACATGCTTAGTAGTCAGATGGTGCTGACTTTTGGCAAGGGCTAGCAGGGCAGAAAATGTGGGAAAGGAGGGACTGGAATTGTTGCAACGTTCTGTTGGAATTTCTGCATGTAGAAAAAGAATTCTGCATTCCAAACAAAGCCACTGCTTTGGCTCTGGATCTTGGAGAAAGGGTAGCTTTGTATGGCCTGCAGGCATATGCTGCATCAGCTTTGATGAAACAAAGCAGGCCTGAGTCTGAGGTGGGAAGATTTCCTGGATACCCCATGTGTGCCCCCTTTTAGTTCTGTGGAAGACTAGTGGGATATAAATAAATGTGAGGTAATGAATCAGAGGAGCAGCATCCACTGAACCAAAGAGAATTGGTTTTATAATTCCACTTTTGTAATTCTTGAGGGATGCTTTGTTATGCCTTACCTTTGGAACATCTATTTGGGACTGAAAGACTGATCCTAGGATAAGTTTATATGCAGTTGTGGCTAACAAGGGTTTAAACAAATCATCATGTTATTAGAAACAGCCTCCGAGAAGTAGAAAATGAGCTTGAATTAGAAAAAAATTAAAGAACAGATGTGACATAAAGTGAACAGATTATCCCATTAATCTGTGTAAATGAAACTCAGGGGGAAAAACACTGGGAGAGATTCCCTTGCCAAAACAGTACCTGTAGTGAAGGAGGGGTGTTTTATTAATAAAAGACCCTGTGACACTTAAGAGCTAAAATGCCTCATGAATCCTTTATGTACTATAGCTCATTTCCATTGCTAGTCATTATTTCCTTTTCTATTTAACTGCTGATTATGCAATAGTTTTTCAGCATTTGTCTATTGCTTGCAGTCCTGTAATGATCAGCTTATGTCACAATGGGCACTGCTCAATACAGGTTCAATGAGTTGTTTTCTTCCCACTGCCATTTTTCGTTGTGCAAAGAACTAGGAATATCTGTTTGTCTTCTCAGCAAGTCCAAAGCTGCCTTGATCTCTGCTTCATATCATATCACAAATGCAATTAATAAATATTAAATGAACTCCAGTGTGCCATCCTTTAGCATTTACATAAAGGCATCATCAAGCAGAGCTTTGGCATGTTTGGTCTCCTTCGCCATTGAGGACCTCCCAGTCAGCAGACAAAGCTTTGGCTGCCTCTTTGACTCTGCATTCCCATTTGCCCTGCGCATTCAGACATCTCACCAAATCATGTTGCTTCTCCCTTTGCAACCATACCAAAAATACAGCTCCTGTTGGCCTCTTGCCATAAATTGTGCCATGCCATGGCCATCTCTTGCCTTGACTCCTCTCTAGTCTTCCGTTGTCTCCATCCACTCAGGTCCATCCAGAATGCTTTACCTTTCTCTCATTGTTCTGACATCATCCCCAGTCCCACCATTCCCAGGAAGCCTTTGGAACTGTCAATACCTGTCACATCTAAGCCAAGCCACATGTGAGCCGCCCCAAGGCTTCAGCTAATGGGGCGGCATAGAAATGTTTTAATAAACAAATAAACAAATAAATAAATAAATGTCATTGGCATAATCACTTGCTCTCCTCTTCTTTATGCCACCTCTGCCCCTTTCTTCTGTAGCTTTTCTGTATTCAGATTGTAATTCCCTTGGGATAGGCACTTGTCAGGGCCATTCTTGGTCATGCTCAGTGTGTTATGGACCTATACTGGTGACAGTGTTGTGATTATTAACCAGAATACCTTACCAGCATAAAGGAAGTTGTGAATTTGTTTACTCAGCTACCTGTAATAGACAATGAATTAACAGAGCAGCTGCACAGTTCAGTCCTGATTTCATCAGAAGGCAGAAATTCAACAGAGGGAGAAGGAGTTTGGGCTGCAGACTAGCAAAGCCAGCGAAGCTGGAGGCAAGGGCAGAAATCTAGGACAGTGGTGTGGAGCCTCAAGGTCACAAGTGGAATCCGGCTTGCCTAGGGGCCCAGTCTGGCCCTCTGCTGTTCCCCATATGGCCACACTTCCTTTTCCTCAGCTGTGTTCATTTGGTTGCTTCCCAGCTTTTACAGAGGTTTCCTTCTCCCACTGTGAAAGGCTGGGCAACCTCTCCTAAAGCTTAACCACTGGTACCAGGTGGTTCAGGGCATTAAACTGAACCACCTTGGTATTTCATCATCCCCCGACCTTGCCTTCACCCCTGCCCACCATTGGAAAGGATGCTCAAGTACATTTGGCACTTGGGCCGAAAGAGGTCACCCGGGGTAAGTGGCCACAACGCAGAGGCTGGCTTGGTCCGCAGTAGCAGCCCTCGCAGTTTGTGGGACAGAGGGACAGGTTGTGCTTGTGCACACATGTTTCTCTCCAACAGGGTGCAGGTACGGTGTGGTTTCTAGTCTACTGAGCAGCTTGCTGGAGGCAGAAGTGATTCATAATACTAATCTGGCCTAGCACCTTTGCTAGATAGGGAAGTTACATGCTGGACTTCTAGTAAAAGCAATTTTGATACAAAGGAAGGTATCTTTTAAAATAAATCAATAACTATGTTCCATTTAAAACAATATAGTGAAGATGCCCCGGTGGTGGGACAGGGGACACAGTACTAATGCAGAGGTGTGGTTCAAAGTTACACCATAAGCAAAACTGCTCAGGATGTAGAGATTCAAAGCAAGCTTGCCTGTATTTTCATGTACTAGTGTAATTTTTAATGCCAAAAACAGGGGTCTTAGGGGACACCTGAGGTGTCCTTTCCTTCTTCCCTGTGGATTGGGGCCTTTCCAAAAAAAATAAAAAAATAAAAAATTAACAGCTCCTCCTGCCTGCGTAAGACAGAAATCCAGAAGCATCTTTTACCACTCTAGCCAAGAGGGGGGAAAACTGATTATTTTCTTTAGTGATCCTAGGACAGTTGAAATCCTATAGAGAAGGGGTGGACTCTTTGCATTAAAGGGAGCACAATTGTCAAATTTCTTCCAATTTTAGAATTATTGTTTCTCTTGCAATGTGGGCAGAGCCCATGTAGACCTCGTAAGAAATGAAGTTTCTCCTGTTCTCAGGTTTCACCAGCAGGTGGCGACACCTGAGGCAAAATAAATGCAGATGCTATTTAAAATGATACAATACCACTGACTGGCTTCAGGTTTATTTAAAACCTTGCAATATAGTAAATATATTAAAAATAACTTGCCCCCACAGTTGTCTCTTATAGAAGCCAGACTGCAGTAACCAGTGGTTTTTTTGTAAGAAAAAAGGTGCTGGAACTCATGAAATTATTTACCTTTCACACGTAGTCAATCACTGTACACACATCCACACACATCAGTTGTGTAATGAAACATAATGGTTGCCGCCCATAGTAAGCACGTGACCACATGACCAATCACAAGCCAAGCAGCACCATCACAACCAGCGCGGAAGAAGTACGCATGCATCGGATTCGACACACAAGCAGCCCACATGCACCATTTTAATGATTTTGCCGCCAACCTGCTACGCTCGACAGGGAGATTCGAATCCACATGGACCAAACATCAAATTTTCAAAAGTTACTTTTAAAACTTGGAAAATCTGTTGAAAAAAGGTGCCAGAACATTGTTCCGGTGCATTCTATGACAAAAAAAAAAAAAAAAAGCCTTGGTGGTAACATTTAAAGGACATTGAACTCTAAGTTTTTATTTTTTCTCTTCTCAGCAACCCCCGAGTTCAGGTTGCCGCAATTGAGGGGGGCGCCTTACAGAAACTGCTGGTCATTTTGGCTACAGATCAGCCTCTGGCTGTGAAGAAAAAGGTAAGAGGGCAGCAGTGTGTGTCTGAATGATGCAGTTTGTGCAGCTGCTTTTCCTATAAGAATGCTGATAGAACGCCCAGTGAAGTTAGACCTACAGCTGCATGGTACCTACAGCTGTGCACATGCTAATAGACTCAAAGCGTTGGATGGGGATCAGCCCCGAAATGGAGAAGGGCTACATTCTTTCACCAAACAGTTAAGTTTGCTCCCGCCTTGTAATGTCCTGGCTTGATCATTAGCCAGTTCTGTCTGAAAGTGCGAGCCCCAAAAGCAAAACAGCCTATCCTGGTGGTTCATAACCTATGTTAGAGAGAGGTCCATGTGGTGGGTTGGGGTGGGAAAAAAGGATGAGGCTGGGTTCAACAGTTTTGGCCTCTGCACATGTTCAGGCCGCCCTTTATCCACTGCTTTTCTACTCTATGCTTCTTTTTCCCAAAGCTGCTTTTTGCAGTGTCTAATTTTTATTTTTAACCACACTGGAGCTTTGTTACATGCCTTGGTGCATAACTGACTAAATTGGGTTTACTGAAGCATAATAAGCACTTTTCAGATCCTTTAAAGAGGAAGATGAACTCATAACTGGAGCTGTTGCACTTGGGCTGTTGAACTGGTGATCAAGGGGGTGTGTCGAGTGCTTGTTGAATAAACTTTTAAGCAGAGCTCAGTTTTATTAGGTTGCAAATAGTTTTTTTTCAAAATCATGTTATGCGACATATTCAGTGCAAAGATATAGATGCTGTTGCTTTCTTTCTCTGTAGTACTTTTCTAATCTCACAGGAGCCCTCTTTGGGAAAAGAGAAAGCCAAATCAGAATATCCTTTTCTTCTGGCAACACTTGGGCTACTAACATATGCTGGTCAGTTTTGGTGGCATTACATTGTGCTTAAAGGTTTGAGAATGGGCATTCTAAACATGGTCTGTTATTTCAACATGCGCAGATTCTCTTCCATTCTCTGACGTAATTTCCCCTTTGACTGGAAAATGCAGAACCTTGTAGAAGCTGTTAGTCCCACAAAACAAGAAACACTTGTTTCATGCATCTCAGGGCTAGAATTACAACATAGACAGATTCCTATTCTGTTGCATGCTGTATTCATGCATGCTGCTTTGAAAATCTATATTCTGGTTAACTTTAATTCTGCACTGATTTGTATTTAACCTTAATCACAGTGTGTAGCTAGCATATTTCAAGTGTTTGAAGTTCTTCAGAGACTCAAATCACTTAATTGCTGTGGTTGACAATCACCATGTGCAGCCGGAGAGGTGAAGGAGTTAAGAGGAGACCCTTGACGGGAGGGAAAATGGAGTCCTGCTTGTTGATGTGGACCTTTCAGTGGCATTTGATATCACAGAACATGCAGGTCTTTTAGACTGCCTGAGATGGCTGAGGGGTGAGGACGTGGCTTTGCAGTGGTTACTGGCCTGTCTCTATGGGTTGGTATCACCAAGCAGTTCCTGCAGCACCTCATGCAAGATGGTCTGTGGGATGCCACAAGATTAGGGTCATAGGACATGGCCTTCTAATAAGTGAGTCCCTTGGTCCCTCTAGTTTCAGATCATCTGTACTGATAGACAGAAGCTTTCCAGGTTTTCAGGCAGGAGTCTTTCCTGTTTTTGCCTGGAGATGTTAGGGAATGAATTTGGGACTGTCTACATGCAGTGTGAGTGCTTCACCATTGAGCTGTGGCCTATGCATTCCTGGTGCAGCTGCTGGGAGAGATCAGGAGTGTGGAGTGGGATGTTCTCCATATGTTGATCCACCTACTCTTATTGGCTTGCCCTCATCAAATCCAGGCACAGTGGCTCAGAACAGGACTAACCAGTTGAGGCTTAGTTCCCAATGAGACAGAGGAGATGGTGGTCAACTATCCTGGATCTAGGGTGGCACTGCCTTGCCTGTCCGGCATTAGATCACATTCCTCCTGATGGATAAGAGCACCTGCATTGCTCCTGTCTTGCAGGTTAAGGAGAAGCTTTTGCCAGCTTTGGCTGATGAGCCATCTTCAGCCTCCTTTATCCATGCGTTCCTGCTTTCACTTTGCACAGGGCTGACTTTTGAAGAGAGGTTACATGATGCAGTTAGCCACTTGTCCTGTGGGAACAAGTCAGGAGCATATGAGCGCCTCTCTAGTTGCCTGTCTACATCCTGGCTTACTTCAAGGTGCTGGTGTTGACCCCGGAGAGTTTAGGGGACGGCAAACATAAGTGGACACCTCCTGCTGTAATGGGTCTTCTCTGTGGTGCTCTCCACACACTATGCACTGTCTGTTCTAGTGGGATGGGCCTGACCCATATGTGAATGGTGTTCTCTTTCCACCTCCAGCTGGCTGATGCAATACATTTAAAAAAGTGTTTGAGTGTTGATTGTTTTACTTAGCTGTTGATGTTTGATCTGATCATTACATTGTTTTTAGAATGTGTTATACATAATACTTTTTTCTGGATTGTTCCTTTTTTAAAATTTGGCCTTCCCTTTGAGTGCCAGCTGACAATAAGGAAGGTTGCTTACAAGTGTCTAAATAGATAAATCCAGTATTGCTTCAGCAACCCACTCAGGTAGGGCAACATTAATCTCAGATTGTTGACGGGGAAGGCTGAGGCTGAGGGATCTATGGTATGCCAATGCCTTCAGTGAATCATCTGTTAGAATTTGAACTCAGGGATTGAATTTGAACTCCTTCCATTAACCACAATGCTGTACCATGTCTGTGGCTATTTCCTATGAAGACTTAAGGCATTTTATTTAAAGTGGTATCAGTGTGCACAAGGTGCTACACTGTCCCTACTGCAAGCAGCTTACATTCTACAATCCAATATGTGGTAAGCAATAGAAGAAAGGGCAGGAAGTGGAGGGAGAAAGGGACAAGGAAGCTGCCCTTGCTTTAGTCGCGCTTACTTTGCTGCAAGCTGAGCTCTGGCAGGGTGTGGAAACTGGCATGTGTGGAAGCTGGGCCAAAGGTAAGTGTTCTCCAGGCGTACGTGGTAGCAAGGGAGAAAGGGCAACATCACTGAGGTTGCTGGGGACCAGTGGATGTTGGAGGCAGAGATCCTGGGCAGGGAAGCATCAGGGTGCAAGACTGGAGAACGGGCTGAGGCGAGCTAGGTTGTTGGGGACTCTGAAAATCCTTCTGCTCTCTTGCCGCCACAGGGGAGCGTGACTGGGCTAGCGAGGTGCAATTGCACGCTCACTGTCCCCTCAATGGGATCACGCTTCCATTTGCTGGGCCTGGGCTTTTGTGAACGCATCAGAGCACTGAGTACTTTTAAAGGGGGAGCTGGAGTGCGCCTAGTTTAGTGGAGGGAGCCGCAGGGCAGATTGTCCTGTACGGCTCTGATTGGCAGGAAGGAAGCGAGTTGGTCTCCCTGGCAGGCCTGGAAATCAGAATCTAACAAACACAGAAATAGACATTCAGAGGAGGAGGCAATTACTTCATGCAGTTCGGTAGTCTGCCTCCAGCAGTGGCCAACATCCGATGTTTTCATAAGGGAGAAGGCCTTGATCAATGCCCCTCGTTAAATGTTCAGAACTGACTGACTGGGCTGGAGGGTTGGTTCTTCCATGATCAATTTGCTTCCTGATGCATGAGATCCAGTTAGTTGTAGCTTCCCAGGCAGAGTCCTACAAGCACTACACTTGTGATCAGCATTGCGATTGGTTACAAATGTTCAGGATTCTTTAGTGCTTAATTCAGTCACCCTTTGGAGCAGTGAAATAAATGGTTAGGTCCTTGTGTTAATTCAGAATGCACCATACATTGGCCGAATAATTAGGACTGTGCCGTCATTGGTTTAACAAGGGCGCCATAGACTCTATGGCCCTTTTTCTGTGTTTAAAATCCAGAGTTTCTCTGGATGTGTGTGCCCTGGAAAAAAGAAACAAGACTGATGGATATGCTCATGTAAGGGTAAAATGCTTCCTAAGGGAGAATCCCTTCCTAGCTGCAGACCCTTATATAAAGCTGCATTTGCAGAAAATGTTTACGGCATGTTCCTGAAAGCTACGCTGAGTGTACTGTTAATCTTACAAAGTGTTCTGCCTGTGTCCTAGAGGGGAGAAGGGAGGATGGGAGAATTCGGCTCCTTCAGACTGCCTGTTAAATTCTTGTAGTACATTGTCCATTTCCTTTTTCGAAAGAGCTCATCTCTACCTTAGTTGCTTCGCCCTGCCCAGATGTGCGTGTGGAGGTGTGTGTGCGGGTGCATGCCTGTGCATGGAGGGTGCCATATGAGGATTCTCTTTGCACCTCCCCTCTGATCGTTACCGATCACAGTTCAGAGCATGGCCCTGGAGGGCATTTTCTGCAAGCTGCTTTGGCCATTCGCCCAGGGCTTGCTTTCCTTCAGGCTAGTTTGCCCAGTTGCAGCACTTTCCCTCTGGTCCCATGAAGAGCTTGCATAGCGGGGAAGGAAGCTTGCCCAGTTGTTGCTGGACTGCAACTTTCAGCCTCCCTGATCATTGGTCAGGCTGGTTAACACTTGTGGGAGTTGGAGTCCAGCAGCATCAGAAGGGCTATAGGTTACCCGCATGTACTGCATAAGAAGGGTCATTAAAAGGAGGAGCTAAACCCTGCACTTCCCGCATGCTTGTGTTGAAAGTAGGCTACTGCAACAGATCAGCTCTTGGGCTCATTACATTTATTACGTTTCTCTACTGCCCAGTGCCCTGCTCTACTGGGCACTTTACAAAGATGGGAAACAGTTTACCTACAAACATATTAGCACACACATACAATTTTAATAGTCACTGATAAATCCTGGGACCCAATTAATAAGCTTCCCATAAGTTGTCAGATGATAGGGAGCAGAGGAAAGTCATGACCTGGCCCCAAATGTTGGTGCCAAACAAGCCTCGTGAGGGTGGTTGTGCCTCCACAGGACCATGCCCTGCCTAAGCAGAGGGATTGTAACCTGACTGGTGGTCCAGAGTAAGAGCTAGTGCAGAATGCAGCAGCTTGGCTCTTGCCAGCGGCTGGCCCTTTGAGCACACAGCTCCTTTGCTGAGGCACCAGCTGCCTATTTCCTAGCAGGCCAGCTTTAAGGGTTTGGTGCTAGTATATGAAGCCCCAAACAACTTGGGTTCAGGCAACATGACAGTGAGCCTTCCCCTTTACAAACCAGCCTAGTCACTGGAGTCATCAGTCAGCATAGACCTGTGGCCTGACCACGATCCACCCAGAGAAGAGCCTTCAGTGTGGTGGCTCCGTTTCTGTGGAACTCCCTGCCACTGGAGGTCAGGCAGATGCCAATGTTTTCATTTCAGGAAGCCTTCCTTCCTGACCAGCCATGGGTTTTTCAGATTTTGCTTTAATATACCATTATATTCTTTGTATTTGTTAATTTTTTATTGTTCCTCTTCAAGAGCCTGTTCAGATCCAGAGCAGCACCTAAATGCTGCAGATAGACAAGTGAACACATACGTGACTTGTCTGACTGTCAGGCCACTTCTGCACCCGTCTGTGGCTCCCCTTGTTTGCAGCTGTGACTGGTGGAGGGGAGGGGAGGACCAAAGCAGAAGCATCCCGTGCAGGCAAGGGAGCCTGGGCTTTGTTGGGGGGCTTTGCAGGGCACAGACCGGACTTGTAAAGCGAAGTCTGCCATTCCTTTCCACTGGCTAGGGTCAGGGCAGTTTACGGGGATAGTGTTCCAAAACTTTTGCCATGTCTGGCAAACTGACGGCATTAACCAGGGATGGGTCCTGTAGCACTGACCAAAATGTATCCGGTCTGTTAGCTATTGTGTATGTATGAGCATAGAGGCACCTCCCCTCCATATGATTGGAGCCAGGAAGAGGGACAAGCCAGAATCAAATAGAATTAAAAGAGCCAGCGATCATCTGTGAGTGTGCACACATCCCTTCCTGTGGGCGCACAGTGGCTAAATATGCCGGGCACAATTGCATGCCGAAACAGCTTTACAAATTGTGAAGGCGGGGAGGGGGGTCCAGTTAGTGTGCAATCCTATGCATATTTAGGCAGGAAAGAAGTCCCAGTCCAGCATGAGAAGATGGGTAGGGCTAGGAAGGAGGATACTGAGAGACTGTTACCTACTGCAGCACTTCACAGGGGTTTAAATTCTAAAGCAAAGCCAGCTTGCAAATAAATGGCTCATCAACAGCTAACCTGGAATGAGTTATCCTTTTCTCAGGAATCCATTCTGATGCAGAGTGGGCAGAAGAGAGGAATCCTTCCCTGCTTCCCTGCCCCCTGGCAGTATTTCTTTCTGTCCCTTCCCTGAATGGAAGGATCAGCAGTAGCTGGAATGCCATTTAACAAGAAGAGAGATGCTAGACCCATCAACATTCTGATACTGTGTGAACATGAGTGAGATTTATTTTCCATTCCTTTGCGATGCAATGGGAGTTGAGGCATCACAGCATGCCTTAGCTGTAGCTGAGATAAAGAAAAAGTGGAGGCATCCACTAAATTGCAGGAGAGGATGTAGCAGAGACACAGAGCAAATTGGAAGGAGAGAGAGAAATGCTCCCCGCTCAGAACTGCTCAGGAAGAACATGGAAAGAAATTCCACCTTTGTTGTCCAAAAGGAACCTGTTCGGAGAATTGCAAGGATGACCCACTCCTTTCAATTTTGGGGCACTTGCCACCTTTTCTGATATTAGCAGAAGATCAGAAACAGACAGTTCCACATGATTTTCACTGAAAATGCTGTATCTTAGCAAAATTCTATCCAGATGATTTTTTTGATCATTTCAAGGTCACAGAGATAACTATTGAGTTATCTAGTTGATTAAAACATGTTAAAAACCCATTAAAAGATTCCATGAATTGCTTCCATTGCTTACAATTTTTATGCACAGCTGTTCAGACCTGAGCCAATCCCATGAAGAAAGAGATCACCTCCAAGGGTTGATTTCTGCTTGGCATTTGGGGGCCCTGAGAATTCACTAGGTCTTGAAGGGCTGCTGCATGCTGGTGCTTACCGTCACTGTGCTTCGAGCAGCAAATGCACAGAGATGTGGTCAGCAGCCTGTTGTTGGCATGTATCCACCTCGTGTTTGGCAGAGCTGCATTTCACTTCCAAACATGATACTGTTCATGACCCAGATGCATAGCAGATCAAGTTGGAAATTTTATCTGCCATGTAAAATGCAAAGTGCCGACAAGGAAGTTATGTCTGTTAGGTGGTATGGATATAAAATAAGTGAAATATCTGGGGAGAAAGCCTAAATCAAAAATCTTATAGAGGAGGTAGTGTGCAGGGAGAATCCAGGGGACTCCTTCTGTGAATGGAAGGACTGAGATCCAGCAGAAACTCAGGACGGAGGCAGGATGAAGCAGTTTTTCCTGGTTTTCTCTGCAGCCTCTTCCACTACCATTCACAATGTATTGGAGAATGCTTAAGCCTTAGGGGTAGCTTTACAGGGACCCCACAAAAAAGAAGGAACTGGTTGGAATTCTGTGTCCCACCTTCCTTCATCTAACAGGAGTGCTCTGTGAGTGGCATCCCAAGCCAGGATCTAATTATTGTGGGTCTTAGTTTTAATTTTGCACTTGTGTGCCATAATGTGCTGTGCAACACGTAATGCTTTCCCCAGAAAAAGGGTACCTTGATCCGAAGCAGAGGATCTCTTGCTAGCCATTGGACCTGTGAGACCATGAATTCCACAAAGCAAAACTCTGATGAGAATGATGAACTATGTGTTTTTAGAAATTGGGGTATGGGCCGAAGATGCTGTGGAGAAAGACTCTGCGGGAACAAGAAGGTAAACACACAAAAAGCTCCCAACTGTGTACTTTGCTTGCTTCTAGGTCCTCTTTGCTTTGTCATCAATGCTACGACACTTTCCATATGCCCAGCAGCGGTTCCTCGAGCTTGGAGGCCTTCAAGTACTTAGAAATTTGTGTTCAGAGAAAGGAATGGACACATTACGCATCCGCATTGTGACGCTTCTGTATGATTTATTAATGGAAAAGGTAAGAGGAGTTGTTACATTCTACAGACCTCAACAAACACAAGTGCACGGGAATGGGCCAGATAGCACTTAAGAAATCCAAACCTTCCCTTCAGTAGCTCATGGGGGCTGGGGAGAGAGACACATCTAAGGCAATGAGCTGCAGCGTAATTTTAAATGCCTGGTTTTATTTATTATATTATTTGTGTACCGCTTTTTGGCTGACAAAACAACCCCCTTTGTTAATAACCCACTATACTGGATATTAGTCATGTTCACAAGTGGCCTTTATCTGGAAGTATTGGAAAACAAGGCAGCAGATTCTGTCATGAGAGAGCTGAGCAGAGTGCAGGCCTGTGGACTCCACAGTGGGGATGATGAACCAATTTGAGCCTGGAGGTCAGATTTAATGTGGTGGGCAGCATTCCCATGATGGGCATGGCCCACGGCAAAGGGGTAGCACCAAAAATACCAGCACATTTTAATTCAAAGAAATGAAGCCTAAGACTCTGCAGGGAAACTTCAGTTTTTTCTCTGGGTGTGTGAGGGGAGGGGCAGGGAGGCATCTGGGGAGGACAGGCTTGGCCTTCTGGGGTAACTTGGAAGGGTTGGATTTGGCCCTTCGGCCTGAGCTTCTGCACTCTTGCTGTACGGTGTGGAAACCCTGAAGTAGCTAGGTTGATTCATCTCAGTGTGTCTCTCTCTAAGTGTGTCTGCAAATCTTGGGGTCCGGTGGCACATGCCTCGCTGCCACCTTCCTTCTCAGTGGCTCAGTTCTGCTGGCACTCACCATCTGAGTTTGCTGTTCGAAGGAGCCATTAGGCTGTTCAAAGTATTTCTCACCATTCTGACAATAGCTTTGTTAGGTCTGTATAATTCCCTATACCTTACAGAGACTAAGAAGGATGGTTTGCCTAATGCCGCTTAGCTAATCCCTAGCAAGGACCAGATTCCAAGTGTGGTCCACAAGAGCTAGCCTGGTCTCTTAGCACTGCCACACCAGCTCAGATTTGCTTTCTCGAGTCTTTGCTGCATGTGCTCTGGTGAGGATGATTATGTAGCCCGATTCTCTTAAGAGGGAGCTCTTCATGAAGCTCATGGATGGTTTCCCTTGGCATGCTGCAATGTATCAGGTTACAAATTAGAGGCCATCCTTGGAATACATTATCCTTAGCTAAAATGTTTCCACTAAGCTTCATTGATGTTTTCATGCACACAGATCCATTCATTTTCGGTGCATCGTTGACAGCCACCAGCTGGAGCTTGTCTTTGTTTGGGTAAAAGAAGGCGAGGACAGCCTCAACTGGGGCAACAGGGTGTGCCCATTTCCTTTTCAGACTGAACTCTGTGCAGATGAACCTGCATGTGGCTTCTGATGACACCCCCAGCCCATTTCCCCACTTCCCGATGCGCCTCCACAAGCAGGGCTCCTGGATACAGTGGAGGGGTGAGGAACCTGTGGCCTCCCAGCTCCCATCAGCCCCAGCCAGCTCTGACATTGTTTGAGGCTGATGGTAGTCCGGCAACCTCTTGGAGGACCACAGGTTTCCAACATGTTGATTGAGGTGCTGAGTGCGTGTATTTTTGCCACACTGCCAAAGTCTCTGGGCCCGCACAGTCTTCTGGTTCTGAAGAATTCAGCCCTGTTGTTCTAGCTATGCTTTGAGTTGGGCATCCGGCTTGTTAGTTGGATTGTTGTTCCACAGCACCCTGCATGGCCACATGGGCAACTCAAGGAACAAGTTAGCAGATAACATCTCTGTTAAGTGTTGCCAGAGATGCAGAGGGATCATGGATGTGTTCCCAGTGCACATTCCACTGTAATTTGGCTGATTTGACAAGACTTTGCTCTTCTCAACCCATAGAAACAATCTTCCTTAATTATAATATAGTAGTAAGGAGATTCTTGTGATTAGGATCTAATTAATGAAGCACATATATAGCAATTAACACAGGAGGCTGCCAAGCAAAGCAAAGGAATGTTTTTCCCCCCTTAATAAAAATGAATACGGGCCATCAGTGAGTTCTGTATCTGGCAGCCGTGTACTGTAACCAACCTTTCCCTTCATAAGCTGATCCAGATGGCTGGCTTGCAGTGCCCATGTGGGAGTTCTGCTGATAGAGCTGAGCTTCTTGGCTGTGTCCAGATGATTATTTCTGTGAAACAAGAAGAGCAAATTCACCTTTGCAGATTCTCGACTGTGTGTGGCCCTAACCTGTGCGTGCATGAAGTGGTACAGTGTGATGGCCGGGACAGGGCTTCCTGTGGAGGCAACACCTGCTTCCTCTTTTTTTCTAATGGTGACCTCCTCCCCAGTCTCAGGAAAGTAATGAAATAATAAGATAGATGAGACTGGATTGCAAGCACCTTGTGGTTTGGTGAATATCAGCCTGTAGTACCCCCCTCCACTCAAAAACTCCAAATAAACATTTCCTTAAAACATCTAACTTTTCTGTTCCTGTCCTGGCTATATCAAAAATAGGAAGGGTGAACCAGCAGTAGGTATCCATTAGATTTCCCTGTGTAAGGAAACATGGAAGCAAAATGTAAATGACTTGAGGAAGGAGAAAATCCTGCAGAGGCATTCCAGTTGAAAAGCCTCTTCCCTTTCAGCGTGTTCTAGACTTCTGCAAAAAGATGATTTGGCTTTGAAATTTCACCTTGATTTCTTCTTCTCTTCCTGTGCTACATATCATCACTGGATGCTTCTATGCAGAAACTAAAATTTAAATGTTGTATGTGAACTGCTTGGAGATTTTAATATTAAGCCATATATTAAAAAAAACTGAGTCTCTTTGAACAGCTTTCTGAATCATACCAGAATCCTCCTCCTTTCCTCCTAAGGGAGGTACCTCACTCACATGTGTCTTGTAGAAGTTATGTGATGATTTGTGGGCAGGAGCAGAGAGTGACAGCCATGGTAGTTACAGGAAGCGTCCACGGTTGCCTTGTTGTGTCAGCCTTCCTTAGATACTTTGCATGGGATGCTTATCTGTGGGTCTTGAACAGTTTGCCTGGATTCCTCGCCCAAAAGCCATCTGTGCTCCTCTGGGTGGTGCAGGGTTTCTCCCCTTTTGGGAGGAATCACTTTCATTTAGTCAGTAATTTTGTTTGCCTGTCCAAGGAGCCCAAAAAGCATTAAAGCAGGAGACTGTGATGTGGTAATACAGATGCTCTGTTTCCAAGTTCTGCTGCACTGGTGATTCTAAAACAATCAGCTGCATAGTCTCAGTTCTTGATGACTTTCAGCTATTTCATACTCGCAGAAAGGGAATGAAGGACATTTCTAACTTTCTCTGGGAAGGGACGGGACGGGACGGGACGGGACAGGACGATGATCCCAGGATAAATTGACAGGGTGTGCTAGAAAAGACGCTTACTGTAATCCTCCAGCTATTTTGAATAATCCTTTCTAGTACTCCATTGTGCTTGTGGTAGTGAAGCCCGCTGCATTCCCACATGTTTCCATCAACATTACAGCCACACTCCAATTTTATTCTCCCTCCATCTTTCTCTCCGTGGGCAGTAATTGTTGTTCCTCCCATCCAGGAAATCTCTTGCCTGTTTAGGTTCTTCAGGTGTTCCACATCTGGCTTCTCTTTAGGAATGACTGTGGGGTTCTCATGTCAGGACTAAAGGAGTTTGAGAGGAAGTTGCCAGGAATTCAGCCAGCTCAAACAACCCTAAACTTCCCTGATTTTCGCAGCTGGGTTGCTCAAACTGGCCCCTACCTGCTCTCCATGCAGATACTGCCCCGTCAATCAGCCTGACTGGGGAATTCTTCTGCAAGGCTGATGGAAGACAAATCTCAGTGTAGGTTGTGATAGGAGAATGAGTGGCAAGCCCATAATTCTTCTCACTCCTAGAAAACAGGGCTTGGCTAAGAATACTTTCTTGGAGGGCTCCTACTCCCCAGCCCCCCATGTTTAGTGTGCAGATGTGGTGGGGGGAGTCAAAGAACTGTTCTCTCCTGGCAGACAGTGTGGGGTGGATGGGGTGGGGGGCAGGGGCTGGAGGTAGAGAAGGTTTCAGTCTTCAAGTGAATGAATGCATATTTCAGTAATGACTTTAGGAAACTTTGTTTCAGCTGCTGCTCATGGACCAACAGGACAACACTACTGAGATCCACGTGAGAGCTCAGCAGTACAGCCAGGTGAACTTGGTCCCGGCCATTGTTGAACAGGGCTGGTGCACAATCATTGCAAACCTGCTGGTGCTGCCTGAGCACGACACCAGGGAGAAGGTGCTGAAGACGGTGCACGTGCTGCTCTCCTCCTGCAGGGACAGCTACAGAGCGGATCGCTACCTCAGCCATGTGCTGGACCTGCTTCGGCAAGAATACGAAGACCTGGCAGCAGAAGAGCAAAGGGAAGGGGATGAAGATGGCTATTTTAAGGAACTCCTTAGCTCTATAAATAGCATTGCCCAGCAGCTGAAATGAAGGCTGCTGCAGTGTTGGAGAGAGGGAAAGATCCCCTGGCAAATTGGGAAAGAATTATGCATAATAAAACAATTGAACAAATATTTTAGCTTTGTTCAGTCACTTGATGTGATAAGTAAGCCTGTGTGTTTGTTCTAGAGTGACAGCTACCTTTACAGGGGTATATTTTTATTCCTGCAACTTATCACGATAATTGTTCCTCATACAACAAGATTTAGGTGTTCCCATTAGTGCTGTACAGAAAAAAGTAGCACCTCTTATTCCCAATGCACTCCCCACTTTTTTCCAAGAGAAATTGCAGGTGAAAATAAGGCAGTTTGAAGAGGATTTGAGCAAGTTTACTGTCTTACTCATGTCAAAAGAAATGTTTTGGGGGACACATAGGAAGGCAGTGAACATATTCTACTGCCTTATTTGGAAAGGCAATTTCCTTTGAAAAAAAGAGTTTCATTTTAAAAGTGTCACTAATAAAAATGCCGTCTTTTTCAGTACTGCTTTTGAGGTTTTTGGTATATTTTTGCAGCTGCTTTCATCCCTCTAATTGTTCTCCATACAGTTGTTCCATTGTTGACAGCATTGTTGTTATTCCTCCTCTGGTTTTGCACTTCCTTCTGTTACAGAATGGTAGATTGCTTAGAAAGAAGCTGCTTCAGAAATGGTAATCTGGCTCAGTGGTTTTCAAACTCCTTTGAGGAACTGTGAGATTCCTCCAGGGGAGGAGATCAGTGACAGCAGATGGACTTTCCAGAATGACAGTGTCCGTTCCTGAGCTTTCCCAGCCATGTGCAGCTATAGAAGAGAGCCAGATTGTTTCCAATGCATGCTCTCAGTTTGTATGGGGCAGCAGGGAGGCCCAATAGGCCTGGCTTGGTGAACCACATGAACCGAGTAAGCAGCTTTAAACATTCTGCAGAAATCACAGCACTGAGCACCTTCTCAAAGAAAACCTGATAGAGAAAAATTGAAAGCCTTGCGGTAAAGTAGTCTTTCCCAACCTGGTGCCTTCCAGATGTTTTGGATCAACTCCCATCAGCCCCATCTAGCACAGATAATGGTCAGGAAACCTGGGAGTTTTAGTCCAATACATCTGGAGGCTGGGGAAGTGTGCTAAAAAAAAAGCTGCATTTGAAACCCACTGGGTGCCTATTTCAATCAGTACCACAGAATGCGGCTGGGGCTTTACATGCCCAGTGGGCACCCAGTACAGTTGTTCTGTCTGGCTTCTTTGCTCTTGTATTCCTTGATCCCATTATCGGATTTGCTTATTTGCATGGCTGATGACAGTCCTTTGTTGATTGTTTGATTCCTTCAGTAACTGTGAGTTGTTAAAAGTGACATAGGTGTGAGTGAGCAGGCTAGTGCCTACCTGTCCACTCCCACTGAACTAAACAAGCCAGGATTCCTGGGTTACAAGTCTGGCTGGTTCATCCTCTAACAGCTTCCATATCAAGGTTTAGACGTCGCAGTAAGCAATCCAAGGATATGGGTCCCTGGGTCGCCCAGCTAAGCAGGAGCAGTTGAGAGCCAGTGCTCTTTTTTGCTTGCCTTCATTTATGGCTGCCCGGGGTTTGTTTAAGCTCTGGGTAGCCGTGGCATGCGAATCCAGCCATCGATTGCCATCGCTGAGCAATGCAGGAGGGCCTGGCCTGGCTAGTAAATGATGCTTGGTCTCAAGTGAGTATATCAACAATCCTCTAACTTTGACAGCTTAATACAATGGTTATTATGTCAAAGTCTGGGGAAACCTGATCTGCAACCCTCACTCAGTTACGAAATTTGATGGGTGACTTTGGTTCAGTCCCTCTCTTTCATCAACAGGGTTGAGTAACTTTTGGAGGTTTTTGCACCTCGCTGCAAAATTTTAGTAGCAAGCAGCTGTTGCATGGCCACTGTAGTTTTCTGTAGTGGTTGCTGTGAACTCATCCTCAGAGAGGAGTATATGGAACCTATCCTCTTCTATAGCCTCTATATCCACTAGACCAGGGGTCGGCAACCTTTAACACTCAAAGAGCCATTTGGACCCATTTCCCACAGAAAACACAGGGAGCCGCAAAACCCTTTTGACATCTAAAATGAAGATAACACTGCATATATAGGTTTTTACCTTTATGCTATGTATAAAAAAACTATAGTGTGTTGCATTTATGAAATCAATGAACTGCTACAGAGAAAACAATTTTTTATTTCTGCATGTAACAAAAACATTTTGAACTCCGAAAAAAAAGACGCTGGGTTGAAAGTTACAGTCAAATAAAATACTCAATGTCTATCTGAGTGCTCCTCGTATTTATGAAATAAAAAGCCAAACTTATATTATCCACTAGCAGCAAACCAAACATGCCACCTGCAGCAAACCAAAAATGCCGACTGCTTCTGTGTGCCCTCATCCTTTTATCATGTGGTGAAATATTGAACAAACATCCCTCTCCCAATGTAATAATGTTGCTGGAATTTTTATAACAATCTTCTTAAAAAAAAGAAGTAGATCTATATCTTCATTATGATTTAGCTGCAGCTCTTGTTCAGTCACTAAAAACTGTTATTTTTAATCTTACATTATAAACTACTAGGATTCTTTTCATATATTTTGAATAGGAGAACAGCTTCCTGCAGAGTCAAAGTCAGTGCTAAAGAGCTGCATGCATTAAACAGCAAACCCCATAAGTTCGTCAGCAGTAAATGCAAATGAATCTACCCACTTTAGGTTTTCTTCAGAAACTTTTCTTCGGATTTATCCATGGTTGGAGGGAGGGGGAAAGCTCAGTAAATTGGGTGCAGATATAGGTGTGTTTAGTGGCTGATTAGCAGATAAACAGTCAAGTGCTGTGAATTGTGACAGGTCCCAAGCACAGCTTTTAACATTCGGATGAAGGAGATTAGATTGGGACAAAGAGAATCTTTTCAGCAGAGTTTCTTTCGTGTAACACGAGAGCCTGCTGGAAACTTGTTTAGCAGAGCAATGTAGCGATTTACTTAACTAGCTGATTTACTTAGCTAGCTAGCTCTGCATTCCTGAGTGGAGCTTCGAGTAGATCAGCGGCTGTGCCAGCGCATGTTTTGAGCAACGGAGCCGCAGCAAAGGGGTTCAACAGCCACGTGCAGCTCCGGAGCCACGGGTTGCTGACCCCTGCACTAGACTCTTACTCAAAACAGTCTTTATTTGTCCTCACCTCTAGATAGGGCACCAAGGCCCAGCCAGCCTAGATGTTTTTGCTCAGGATCAAGACATACGCCACCCTTCCCTCTCCTCTGCTTGGCAACCCCCAAAAGTCCAACAGTCTGGGTTTGAAGGACTTCTGGTGGCACACTTCCTTGGAGAAAGTCTTCTCTGTCCCTGTGGGAGAGGCTTCCCAGTCTGTCCACCCTCAAGGCTTCTTCCACGCCAGGCATGAGGTCCAAGCTTGGATATTGTTGTACCCCGCGGTTTTACAGATGAGACCAGAGACTGGATGGTAAAGTTAGAGAGGAGGTTTATTACCTGCGCAGGGACCAACATTCTAGTAAGAATGCGGCCCTGAACAGAGTTGGAAGGAGATCGTTATACCTTCACAGTCAGCTTTCGGCAAATGGGGAACAATACAATCAGTTTTTGACAAGAATGAGAACAATGGCGACAACGGGAAGTTACAAAATCACATAGCAGCAGTTAAGCAAGTGATATACAGAAGCAGATTTGGTTAGCAGTAAGTTTTATCTTTTAATTTACACCTTCTAAGCAATCTTTGTCCATTACTTGTAGGTAAGCTCTTTCCACTTTCCGAGGGGAATTCTCTGAGGCAGTTACTAGACATTTGAATGGGCTGGAGCTTAGGGGAACTAAGCCTATCATGAATGCCCTGAGACAGCTGATTATTCTAATGTTTAGCCGTGTCATGCAGGTCTGGAGCCTAGAGGAGTCATGCCTATTCTGAATGCCCTGAGAAAGCTGATAGATATTTCCACTATGTCAGGAGCCTGGGGGGTCAGGCCTAACAGATATGCCAGCAGTTCTTCTGATTCCTGCTGCTGGGTCCTTCCAGACTCCTGGCCAAAGGAAGCCTAAGAGGGGGTCTGCAGAAGGGGTCTTCTACCTTCTCCTGGTGTGGCATCCATCCATCCCCTCCCCTCCTTCCAGCCCCCTTCCCCTGCTGCCTCCCTGAATGTAGGATGGGCGAGCTCCATCTGTGGCTGATCCAGTTCCACTCCTACTCCCCCAGCAGGGCTAGCCTAACCTCACTGCCTGGAAGCCCTCTCAGCCACCTTCCCTTGTGCCTTAATTAGCATACCGTGGGAGCCTACAGCCAGAGCATGAGGATGACGTGACCTGGTGAGTCCTGGTGGGCTCTCATAGTTGGCTAATGGGCTTTGGCAGCAACCCTGAAAAGGAACTGCCTCTCAGTTTCAGGGGTAGTGAGAGTCATGGGCTATGAGTTGCTCACCCCTGTTTATAGGCTTGTTAGGAACCTAAAATAAGAGAGGAAGGAGGCGGTGTATGCCACTCCTTGGAAGAGAGGGGCCAGGTAGCAATTAGAAAAATTTATAGTGCTAGTTCTAAGACCTTTGGCAACTCAGGTGCCAAGTCATTGTGCAGCCCACAAGACCAAAATAAATGTATACACGATAGAGATTAAGCAGACAGCCTCCTTCTCAAAGTGAATAGATAGTGGTAGGGTTTTATTGACTGGGATATTTCTTTAAGGCTAATAGCTAATAGCCCATCCTCACTGGACTTGGAAATCTTTTTTACTTTCTGTAGATTCTACAGATTTGCTTCTTGCTATTAAGTTGCAGAAGTAATTATATACATTGATTTTCTTTCTTGTGGCATTTTGGTTGTTTATCTTCAATCAGAAGGGAAAAAATGAAGGGATTTTACAAGAAATGCTCTCTGGAGAACAGCATGCAATTATTAGAAGCAGTAAAACACAGCACTTCAGAATATGTCAGAGATTTGGCAGCACACAGAGGGCGCTCCTTCTGTTTTTAACAGATCCTACTTCTTAGAGTGTATTACCGTAAAGTCTTTTTTTCCAGAGAAAGGTGAGGGAAGGAACAATGCTGTTCCTTTGCTGCACATTTCTATGCAGCTGTCGCTCAGAATT